GAAGAAGAGAGACCCTGGGAACGAGGTTGTTAAAATTCGTCAAAAACCATAGTAGTTACTGTCATTACTGGAAGAAAGTTTGTACGTCATCAGTGGCTCTGTGACGTTTATCGGCCACATATTAGAGACGGTATTGACATCTTCATCTAACCACGTGACAATCAATCTAATACAGATGGGACAGCAAAGTCAAGCCGGTTCAAACCTGGAGTCAATGCGATTGTAACTAATCTGTGGTTTATCTTAGTGTGTGACCATTCAAATGAAAGCTATTGAGCAGTACTTTCATGTGATACTGTTTATTATGCTGTACAAGGTGATTCTAACTTTTAAGTCTGTGGATGAAACCCTAGTGTGTGACGATTCAAATGAAAGCTATTGAGCAGTACTTCCAACTGATTCAAACAGGTGCCAGAGCTATTCGCGTATGGTTGTTTGATTTTATTGTTTTCTGAGGATTTGATGTACTTTTTTTACTGTGTTTTAGAAGCTGCGTGTTTTGGCCAAGAGACTAGCGGAAAACCTCAATCTCAACTTTTTTGATGTCAAAGCAAATTCTAAGGATCGTATCCTTTATTTACTATTCAAGTTGTAATATATCAAACACGAGAGACAGTGTTTCATCTGATTTCCAAACACAGAGAAGAGAGTTGAAAATACGACGCGCAGAGGAGTATTTTCGGCGAAATTCCGGAAGCGTTTGGAAATCAGATGAAACACTGTCTCGAGTGTTTGATATATCTTCTCATCGAAATAAAAATTAAGGAGTAAACGGAGAAATAAAATGGTAAAAATTGATGCTGATTATATTAAATGTGGTTATATGAAATTTTAAGCAAAGTTAATCTCGAGGCAATGTGGTCTGCGGTGCTCCCCATTTGCGTACGTGATCTGCGGGGGGATCTCAGGGGCTCATAGCATACCTCGTGGACTGGCAGTGCATTGCCGGCACTTTTAGCTGATCATTGCGGATCATAGACCTGCTCTAGCGAATCTTTGCGGATTCTTGCTCCCAGCCCTCCCTCCCCTTTGGTTTGTGGGTTTTGGTAAGTATCGGGTTAGGTAAGTATGTCCACTGAATTCCTTTCAGTGTGACGGTGCCAGGTGGCAGTCGCTCGTAGGGGTGGTTCCCGCTTGCAGGGTTGCCATGGATACCTCCCTGCTCTGCCTGAATGGCTCAGGCCCCTGTCAACCTTTAAGGCACCAGTTCCCAAGCTCATCTATTGGCGATGAGTTTAAGACTGGTTATAAGACCGGTTATGAGGTCTTAATACTTCCTTAAAGGAGTTACGTCACGGATGACGTATCTTGAAAAAAATGGCTAATTTTTTCAAGTTCGCCGTTCGCAATCCGTCTTAGTCTTCTCCATCCTCAACCATCCTTGCTCCTGTTTGGTTTATTATCACCTCTTTGGTGTTTTTCTACCATTGTAAATTATTATTTTGAGGCTTTCTTCAATTTGAAGGCGATTTCGCACTTCGCAAAAAATGACTTAAATTAGCTACTTTAATGAAATATTTTACAAAAACATATATAAAGAAACTGATAAATATATATCCTGAATATTTCAACAACAAAATTCAGCACTATTCACCTTCCCTTATCATCCTTAACTTGTATTAGATGTTATCCGTCACCGCCCTGTGGTCGAAGTTCCAAGTCTTAATAACAGTGAAGTGAATGTTGCCCAGCCTGTGTAATTACCCCCAATGTGAAGAACGTAATGCATCGTGGGAGTTAGATCTGAAAGATTTGTTCAAAACGTTAAACCTGTGATCGATACGTAAATTGTATGAAATAAATGTAATAAATTTCTACTTTTTTTTTTCAGATGTAAAACAGTAAAAGGGCTCAAAAACTAAGTTAAAAGTTTTACGCCTTTTAATGTTTTACAAATGTTATGCTTGGTGTTTATTTCCTCCTGCCATACTATACCGTTTAATATTAGCCTCCCTTTTTCACAGCTTTCCATGTTTACATTAAAGTAAACAGTAAAGCTCGGGCCAAACTGGCTCACACCGCCAGAGCTTATCCCAGTTTCTGTAGCATGAAGCAACTAGGAGTATTGCTACTCCCCTGGATGGAATGCTAGGCCATCGCAGGTTTACCCCCCAACATTTTGTCAGGTTGCCCTAACAGTTCTCCGTTACCCCTTTTTACTCCAGGGAAGAGAGGCATACAGAAAACTGCAACAGTAGGGAAGTTAATGATCTCAGGAACGATGAGGAACGTCGGCAAGCGACGGTTAATTTTAGCTAGAAACGAAGGCAGACACTCCTAAACTCAGCTCAATTTAGTTCAATTTAAAAGTTCTATTCTTATTAATTCAAATGGCATGGAAATGTCTTTGGTATTCCGATTTATTGCAAGTTTCGTTTATTGTGCTCCACTCCTTGAACTTATTAATATTCCCAAAGCAGTTTCCTATCCTTTTTAAGCGGTCTAGGGTATTATCTCATTCAATAGCCCTTTTCACGGTTAACTTGCGATATTTGCATAACAATACACTTGAACACAGAAGCGAGGCAATTTCGGGCACAAGCTGCAAAACATCGTGTTTTTCTTGAACTCCTTCAACTCTTTTAGTATAAAAACAGTTTTAAAATGTAGAAGAACTACAATTCTTTTAGTTTACGTTGTTTTTGGAAAAAAATGTAAAACGTTTTTTCTCTATTAATAAAGAGTAGACTCGCATAAGCAACAGGGAGATCGGATTACGATCTTTACGGCAAACTTTAACTAAAATAGTTGCATATTTAGTTCTTCTCCGTTTTTAAAACTATTTTTATGCTAACATAGTTTAAGGAGCTCAAGAAAATCACGATGTTTTACAGCTTGTGCCCGAAATTGCCTCGCTTCTATGTTTAGCTGTATTGTTATGCAAATATTTCAGGTTAACCGTGAAAAGGGCTATTTCCTTCATTTAAATTTTAACGCTGTACACTGGCTCGTTTGAGCATCTGAAGTGACGTCGGCCATCTTATTAACATGAGTCATGGAGTGTACAACAACAACAACAACAACAACAACAACTTTATTCAATTTTTAAATATAAGATTTACAAGAGTGCTTGCTCCCGCTACTAGTTACAAAACTAACCGAGGCGGGAGCAAGAGTTAAAATAAAAACAAGGTTAATACAATTTAAATGTGTATTTTGAATGAATGAGAATGACCATTAATATATTTCTTTTTTCTGACTTTATTGCAAGAGCTACCAAATTAAAATGGTTATTTATTTAATACATGCTGAGCTTTAATTACGACGGCGTGCGCAAGTTCTTGCGCAGAATAGAACGTTGTCCTTTTCACACGTGCGAAAAGCATTTCGTCCAATCAGAAAGCACCTGTCACAATGTGCCACTATTTGCAAATGCAGTCAACACTTTCATTCCCTCGCTTTTGACAAACAAGTTGAAGAAATATTCCGTTTTACAATATGTTATCGGAATAATGTGAATGGAACTAAACAAGATAATTCAAGTGGAAGTATTTACCGGAATTTAACACGAAGAACAGTGAAGGAAAAGGTATGAAATTTAATAGTAATCATCTCGGTGAATATTAACGTTGGAAATATGTCGAAGCGAAAACAAATTTATTCACGATTAAGTTTCTCATATTCTTCAGCAAAGAACTCAGTTAAACTTTAGTTACTTGAAATGAAACATATTCTTGATTTGTGTTTATTTTTTTCGGGATTTAAAGCTAAGGAACAAACCATGATTTGTAAAGTTTTCAAATGCAGGACAACAATACTGTGGACAGATGAATTCATAATTTTGCGAATAGCTTTAATATGTTCTTCTTTTAAAAGATGTTCTAGTTTTCAAAGTTGATCATCTAAATTGGTTCAGTGTATCTTTGCGACAATTAAGCAATTTAAGATATCGTAATTAAATTAGCGGCAATCTTGAGGCAAATAGACCTTTTTGCGGTATTAAATATCCGCCATATTGAACTTGGGGCACGTGTAGAGTTTGTATGGGAATTTCACTGGGGATTTCGATGTCAAATGATTTACGTAAAATTCAATTTATGCTCTATCTGTGAATTAAAAACTAAAGATACCAAGTAAAAGATTCTACTGCTGAAATGTGAGGGATTAAGTCAAGGTAGGAAACCTGTAATCGTATTTTTAGTTTTCCATATATTTGTCTGCAAGACGGCAACAATATCTACGGGAAATTTTTACAGACGAACGTATGAGAAAATGAAAACTCAAGTACACGTTCCTCATCACGCCCACGATTCTCAAATTTGATCAGGAAAATCATCTACATAATATCTTAAGTTTACAATTAATAAATAAGGCAGAAATTCAATTTCACGTTAGTAATGATCCCTGAACCTGAATATTGGTCGAGCCGAAGGCGAGGTCCATAAACTTGCAAAAAGAGAACGAGACCCAAATTCCCCAATATGGCCCGAACAAGCTAGTTCAATATTAAAAGTTTTTATTACAGAATGGCTTCAGTTACACAACTTTGCTGATAAATTAATACACCATTCTCGGCTAACGCGCGCGCCAAAGTTAAGCCATAAACTTGCATTTTTCAGACCACTTTTCGAAAAGTTTATAATAACCGAAATTGCCCGCCAGACAAGACATGAAGCCATCTTTACATTAATTACTACACATGACGCATCCTAGCAGTATGCAGGACGCGTGTCACATATGAACCTAGTATACAGCTGTTTCGAGAAAGGTTGTCGTAAAAAGCGCACGCGACAATCCAGAAAGGTATTGTGGGTAGTTTTAAGTTCACGGTTCCTTGACTTCAGCATGTCAGGGAAATCTGAGAAAATGGCACGAGACGCCATGAACGTATGTTTGCGAGTGCTAAAAGAAAGCAACAAAAGTAGGTTCAACAGCTACAGTGTCAGGAACGTACCTTGCTGATCATTTCCCAGATTACCTTTCGGGATTGTCGCGTGTCGCGTGCGCTTTTTTCCGACAAACCTTTCTCGAAACAGCTGTATGACCGCTCACCACATGAGATACTCCGTAGCTCAGTGGTAAGAGCATCCGACCGGTGCACGGAAGGTTATGGGCTCGAATCCAGTCGGGGACTTTTCTTTGTCCCACGCTCGTGACAAACTGAATACAGTTACTTACTACAGCCTGACCGAGCTTAACATTTACCATCTTTACATTTATTACTATGAAGGAAAATGTTTCTACTTAAAATAGAAAACAGTTTTTTTTTTTCAATGTTTCATAAAAGGAAGTCGGAAAATTAGTTCGTGAGCGGTTCTTGTATGTTAGCGGTCACTATTGCAAAATTCAGACGGCTCAGGGAACCAATCAGAATGCTCCTTTTCGGTAATCTCTGTTACGTGATTCTGTCAAGTACAAGCTGGTGGTAAAATCAAACCAAACCTCTAAATCAGGGTTTATAAAACCGCAGGAAAAATATCCAAATACTAGGAAGCCAAAAATTAGGAGTAAAAGATACACCGTCGGAGCGCCTTCCGTTTACGCAGCGACGATGGGAAACCACATCGTTTTTAAAACCCTGTCAACAGTGGAGCGTTTTCAAAACGATACGGTTACGAGTGCCATGTAAACGGGGTAACCTTTGAAAACGATTGGTCTTTGGCGCGAAAAAAGCCGGCCGGGTGAAATCCCCACTGCTCAAAATGGTGAACATTTTTATTTTTCATTTAAAGATTTTTTATTTTTTTCATTTTCAGCATGTTACAAAGCGGTATACAAACAAGCATACAAAATACAAATCACACACATGCACATGCACATGTACATGTACACACTCACACAGGCTCAGCCTACCAAAATGGTGAACATGCGGAGAGGTGCAGCGCTTGCTTTTGCCGTAACTACTTTAGCGGTGTAGCTATAGCTATTATCGTGCCCAGATCCCAGCTAACAAAATATGTCACGGCCATGACGCAAAACGGAAAAATTGTTTTCGTGTAAACGCTTTGAAGCCGTGTATACTTTTGGACGTACAAGGAGTTTCGTAATCATTTAACCGTGTCGGTTTTGAAACCACGTCCGCGTGTAAACGCAACCTTACTTAGTGTATTGCTATTTCGTCTGGATGGGATGCTAGTCCATCCATCACAGGTTAGGAGGTCTGGGGGTCTTAAAGTCGGAATATTTCTGATGGGCTTACAACTGGAATTTTACGGCAGGAGTCATTGTTATTTTCACGTTCGAAGCCATTAGAGAGCTTCCCCGCGCGCCCCGTTCTAAATTATCCCCGCGAGCGACTGGGGACGAGGCAGCCACAGACGTCTGTCTTTGATCCACACGCGGACGACAACCGGAAGGGAAATGTTCTTGTTTTTGGCGCGCTTCCACCCCCACCAATGAGTTGACAAGCTCTCGTTTTAGCGTTTACAGCTTGACGTTATTACGGACGAAAAGTAGATAATACGCGCCAAAGAAGAAAACATTCAACTTCCGGTTGCCTTCCGTGGCACAAAAACGTCTGGACAAGACAAGAAGAATCACCCAAAATAGTGTGACCTAAGCTTAACCTTAATCACAATCTTGACCACAATCTGACCAGCAATCTTAGTAGGCGCGGCAATTAGCGCGACTTCCTGCGGAATAAAGGCAAACAAAAAGTGGCAAATGCCAAGAGAAACCTGAACCTACCGGCCGGAATAAACTTAGTGGAGGCGTTCTATCCGGAAAGCACGCTTATCTTGCTATGATACACGAAATAATAGCCAATTTCCCCGCTAAATTTAACAAGGAATTCATGTCTGGTTAAGCACCGCGTCTACGGCAAACGGCAAACGTCAGCTTGCAGTAGCCTGCGTGTAGACGTCTCCTATTTCCTTGCTTCACGCGCAAAAGGGTGAAGCAAGGAAATAGGAGTCGTCTGCACGCAGGCTAGCTTGCAGTTGGTTATCTTTAATTTTCCTCCAATCGTTAAATAAACCCATCAGAAAAAAATCGAAAATAATTCTCACGTTCAGGACCGCTACTCACTTCCACGTACAAACGGCAGAAGTTGGATTTTTGCCGTTCGCTGGAAAAACAAACGTGTAGACTGCAAAACAGACCAACGCAAAAAATACGACTGTTTTGCAGTCTAACAAACGTGATGCTTTATAACACTGAATACATATTAAAGTGAAATCAATTACTGTAATCAGGTAGTCACGTTTTGATGCGGTTTATTGTTGTCGTTTTTCAGCTTTGCATGCAAACCTAGTGCGAAGATTATTGAGAAGTAAATCATACTTCATGTAAGGATCACCAAAATATATGAGGTACGTTGAAGCTTTTTTTCTTCTTCTAGATTGATATATTTTCAACAGTTTGGAGCGTGAAAAAGTTACGGACTTGTCAATAACTTTCAACCTCTCAGGGTTCTCATCAGGACATGATAATGAATATTATATTAGTTTAATACTACGTTAAAAACGTTGAAGCTTTGTTCTTTGATTTTACTGCGATTGAATTCAGGGAATGCATTTTTGGACAGAACTGTCATTGTAGTGTATCTGAGAATAGTGTAAACCTATTTACCAATCAAAACGCGCGTAGCAGCCAATAAATTGATACTTTCGATCAGTTCACTTGACGTAATTTATGCCGAGATTTTCGGCGATTTTAAAAAAATCACGTGACTTCGACAACTGAAGATTACTTTTACTTTTTTATATTAATGCTGACATTAAGAACCAGGCGAGCACAGAATTTAAACATTGAACGGCAAACTGATCCTTACGGCTGAGAAAAAAGAACGAAAACAAGAAGAAGAGCACAGAATTGCTCATCATGTTTATCAGAAAACAGTTTGTGGTTAGCATCAGTTATAGCATGCGTGATTCAGTAGTTTATTTATTATTATTTTTTTATCGCCGGAGACGACAAACAAAACAACCATATACATAATCTATATAGCATGGACAGAGATTAGTTTAATTATATAGTGAGTTTATTTCCCAGAGTCAAACCTTTTTCAATAAATGTGGTTGTAACTTTTAAGTCTGTGGATGAAACCCTAGTGTGTGACCATTCAAATGAAAGCTATTGAGCAGTACTTTCATGTGGTACTGTTTATTATGCTGTACAAGGTGGTTGTAACTTTTAAGTCTGTGGATGAAACCCTAGTGTGTGACCATTCAAATGAAAGCTATTGAGCAGTACTTTCATGTGGTACTGTTTATTATGCTGTACAAGGTGGTTGTAACTTTTAAGTCTGTGGATGAAACCCTAGTGTGTGACCATTCAAATGAAAGCTATTGAGCAGTACTTTCATGTGGTACTGTTTATTATGCTGTACAAGGTGGTTGTAACTTTTAAGTCTGTGGATGAAACCCTAGTGAGTGACCATTCAAATGAAAGCTATTGAGCAGTACTTTCATGTGGTACTGTTTATTATGCTGTACAAGGTGGTTCTAACTTTTAAGTCTGTGGATGAAACCCTAGTGTGTGACCATTCAAATGAAAGCTATTGAGCAGTACTTTCATGTGGTACTGTTTATTATGCTGTACAAGGTGGTTGTAACTTTTAAGTCTGTGGATGAAACCCTAGTGTGTGACCATTCAAATGAAAGCTATTGAGCAGTACTTTCATGTGGTACTGTTTATTATGCTGTACAAGGTGGTTGTAACTTTTAAGTCTGTGGATGAAACCCTAGTGTGTGACCATTCAAATGAAAGCTATTGAGCAGTACTTTCATGTGGTACTGTTTATTATGCTGTACAAGGTGGTTGTAACTTTTAAGTCTGTGGATGAAACCCTAGTGAGTGACCATTCAAATGAAAGCTATTGAGCAGTACTTTCATGTGGTACTGTTTATTATGCTGTACAAGGTGGTTCTAACTTTTAAGTCTGTGGATGAAACCCTAGTGAGTGACCATTCAAATGAAAGCTATTGAGCAGTACTTTCATGTGGTACTGTTTATTATGCTGTACAAGGTGGTTCTAACTTTTAAGTCTGTGGATGAAACCCTAGTGTGTGACCATTCAAATGAAAGCTATTGAGTAGTACTTTCAAGCGATACTGTTTGTTTTTGACAATTTTTCAATATGAAATTCAATATTTTTTCCTTAGTTTTGCACTTAATACTCTTGGGAGTGAAAGGGTTAAGGCAGCACTACATGTCAGTACGTTACAAATGGTCCATGTTCTCTTCCGACTTCTCTTCACTTCACTTGCAACTTTAATCCATGTTAATCTGACATTGAGGCACATCGAGGACATAAAATTACAACGATAATAGATGTTGTGTTGTCAACCGGATACAAAAGTGTACTTAATTAACATTATTCTGTACTAAATAATCTGCGATCTAAATAATGGTTAGTTAGACCAAATCGCATTAATTCTTCAGTCAATTAAATGCTTTTACTATAGTATACTATAGAGTGACCTTATTCGTAAATGGCGCCGATTAATTATTCTTTTATATTCATGCTAATCAGTCCCCCTAGCCTCGTTAGTATGTGCAAAATTCAAAATAATTTTTACTCTAAAATGAGGCTAGGGAGGCTGATTAGCATGAATATAAACGAATAATTAATCCACCGCCATTTACGAATAAGGTCTTATTTCAAGTGCAACAAGTTACACGTCACTCTGTACTCCTAGGGAGATTTCAGTTTAGAACCAGTAACTTCAGCACTTTTCGTGATTTCTTAAGTTTATCTTAAAAGCCCCCCGAGACCAATTAATCTTAATGTTTTTACAGTTCTGTTGAACACAACGTTGTCGTTAGAAGCCCATTAACAAGCCTCGTGTCATCGCTGTTCAAGTTAACGAGTTTAAAGTCAGCAACAGGTATCTTCTTGTAGTGATGCATCTGTTTTTCATGGTAAATGTCAACCCATAGCGTTGACTCGGAACTGCTATCTACGCCCCGAATACATTGAGTGCCTCTAAACAAGTCTTGTTCGGTTTCTTCTGAGATTAAAGCCAATCTATGTTGATCAATTCTTTTTCCAAAATGTAGACATGTATGTTGAATGCTTCGACGTGGTTTAAGTGTCGCACCACATTTCTTTGAAATTTGGAAACTCTTGTCCCTTGTCAAAATAATATCACTGTGGATGCCATCGTCTTTGCCAATTTTCCGTTTATGTTG